AATTTATAACTATTATAATATCTATTAAATGTATCTCGTCTCGTTATAATTTTTACTATTTTTATCGTTATGTACTGTATTATATTTTAATTAATTTCCCAGGATTTGATTGGATCATTCATGATTACAAGCAATCAACGGCCGCGCGCGGCAAATATAATTGGTATACATATCCGTGAATGGGAATAGTATATGAGAATTTTAATGTTATGGCTTGTTATTTAGATTTCCATGACAAAATTATTAAAAATTTTTGCACGAATTGGTAGTAATTCCGTATGCACAACGCGTTTCACCATATTATAGACAAAAGCATTACATGTACATGTAATTGGTTTATTATTGAAGTTCGGGTTGTACAATCCATTTGTTGTTTGTTTGAATGAATATGTACATGCATGGCATGTAGTAATTGTCAAAGAAATGGCGTTAACATTAACGCAGTAAAACATGAACGACTGAAATATTTAAAAAATAAAATTACATTTTCATATATTATTTGAAAAATTTACTATACTCATTTTCATTCTGTTCTTCAATTTTCAATTTCCGAAGGACTAACCAATTTATTTTTTCCTCGAATTTGCTCTACTTTCTCTTTTCCAATTCCCTTAAGTCCTTTTCCCATGCCATTATTAACCACTGTATCGGAAGTCTCAGTGGAACTACTATCTCGGAAACTGACGACCGTTTCGGTAGATGTGTTTCCTCCGTCATCATCTTCTGATGCTCCAAATAAAGGGTTCAGGGTGAGTAGTCGCTGTCCTTTTACTGGTTTTTCTAATTTGAGCCTTTTAATTAACACGGCTGTGTTCGATCGTGGCTTTGGGGTTTGGGACGTGGCTGAAAGATCGACGTATTGAGGTACATCATATAAATTATCGAAATTATAAAGGTTTTGAGAGATTGAGTTTTTAGAGAAAGGTGTTTCCGGCTGTAGATTTGTGGGGTGATAGTCATTGGTTAAATAAGGTCCATCCACAATACTGTCTAGAGATTCATTACAACTTTGATGAAATGGGATTTGCGGTGAATTTGAATATTCAAATGGATCGTGGAGTTCATGTGTATTAGATGTGGATAGTGGTAATTTCTCTTCAGGTTGACTATCTGAATTTAGAATCGGAAAAGAATTAGAAGCCTTTAGAAAAAAACATATTAAAGAGTAAATGATACTGAATGTTATTTTTAGCATTGAGAATTGTTTTCGGTTCTAAAATTTAAAATTTATTATAGTGGATAGCATAAATAATATAAAGTATGAAAGCTTGATTTTATATTATAGTTAGTTTAATATGTGCATTTTTTCGTTGATTTGAATCAATAATCATTATATTGATGTGATAATATCTATCGTTATCGCTATATACCAATAACGTCTAATTAAGCTTTGGCAATTTTGATAACGTTAATCAAAGGATTCTATGTGATATTAAAAATTAACTGAAACTTAATAATCTATGATCTCTGAGTATTGTCACATTCAACTCAGAAGTTAGGTTGAATAAAGAATTGAAAATGGAACAAGGATTATTGAATGTTTTACATAGAGTGGAATACATGTCATGTATTACTAAGAGATCTTATACCGATCAAGTGTAAAGACAAGGTTCAATAAAAATTTAAAGAAATAAAATTCATTAATAAATAAATATTGAAAATAAATAACAAAAATTAAGTTCATTTCAAAAAAATAATAAATACAATCAAAGAATATGCATCAACTTTTTATGATAAAAGGAGTAAAGTCTTTGTTCAGCACAAAAGAAATAAAGTTAGTTATTAATTTGTTAGATCCAAAAGAAATAAAAGTTAAAGTGCAAATAATTTTAATTATTTTTTTTCTTCAAACAAATATGAGCTATTTTATATATAATCAGATCTTTATAATTTTATTTCTTTATAGATATTTTTTTATAATTGCTAAATTTGAGTTTATTAATAATTATTAAAAAATCTTTTTATAATCAAGTTTTGCTTTTTCAAGAGTAATAACTAAAGAGAGATTTAATCATAATTATTATATAACTATAATTATAAAAAATATAAACTTTATAAACTAATTATAAGAATATTACTAAATAAGAATAACTATTACAAAATAAAAGAGTATAAAAAATTAATATAATATAATATGATAAAATTATTAGAAATTAGATATTTATCAGGTAATTTTCAATTAGAAAAGATATTTTCTTCTTTTATCTAAAGTTAATTATTTTTGATTAATTAAAATTTTTGATTATCTGATTTAATTTAATTATTTTTTTAAAAACTTTATTAATTTAATAATAATAAAGCAAACTTTTTATACTTAAAAAATAAATTTATAATTTTAAAAAGCTAATTATATAAAATTATTTTAAAAATACTCAAATATAAAAATTCAAAAATCTTGTCAGATTTAAATAAATATTATAATAATTATTATATTATAATCAGAATTGATTCTTGAATAATTTTAATAGTTTAAACAAAAATTTATCAGTAATTTAATTATTTAAATAATATTTTTAAACTAATTCAGAGTCTAATCTTGATTATTAAATTTATAATTATTATAATCTTAAAAATTTTGAATTAAATATCATAATAAATAAAATATTATTAAATTATAATAATTATATTATTTATTTTTAATTACATTATATATTAATTATTTTAATTTTTAATAAATTTTTTATTATTATAAAAATTTTAAAAGATTTATAATAATAATAAATTTAGTATTAATAATTTATTATAATTAATTTTAATACTTTATAATTACTAATTAAATTTGTTAAAATTGAATTATATATTTATTATATATAAGAATATTTATTAAATTTATAAATAATAAAGAAATTAAGTAATAAAATTTAAAAATATACATATATTTTTATATAAAATTTGCAAATATTATTATATATTATAATATGAATTGGTGTAAAAAGATTTATATCTCAAATAAATATTAATAAATTATTTTTTCAAAATAAAATTTTAATTCTGTCTTATTTAATTAAGT